AGTAGGATTGTGATGCGTCTGAATATGCCAACGCATTTGGGTATCATAGCGATAAATGAGCAGTCGCACTCAGTGTTCAAGACTGCTTTTCGTTTGAGCAACTCGCCATAATGAACTGACTGATAGTGTTTCAATTATGACTTAAGTACTGAACGCACCACGGTCGTTTTCCTTATTCCACTTTTGAGTAGATTTCAAGCAGCGTGTTGCGACGCGAGACATTCGGACAATGTTTGTCAGGTGCTTGATAAAAATTTTACATAAAATCTTTTAAGCCAATTTTGTAGTTCTAGTTATGGCCATCCTGCAAATATTTATCACAAATAAAACCGAAATGACAGAGGACCTGTTATTGTGGCATCTTAACTTAATCCAGCTTAATTTTTCTATGGTCGACATTGCGTGAATCCATTTCATAATTTTTAACACTTGTCTAGACCATTCCCTGCCGTCCATGGTAAACACTACGCATGGGTTAATGTGTATTTAAAGGTAACATAGGTTAAAATGGCGTCTTATTTTGATAGCCACGTGCTGCTCTTTTAGGTCTCCCATAAGATAAGTCTTGTGTTCTGTACTGATAACAAAAATATTCATGTCCACAAACAGTGGAACAATGGTGTATTACAGGCAAAGAAACAATTGCTTAGCAAGTCCCGTAAATAGCTACACTTAAAAGCACAATACAGGTAGTAGAAATAAAATGAAGAAGTGAAAATCGTCATGAGGGACCCACGATCAGGTTCGCAAAGAGAATTACAGAAAGAGCCAACCTTATGATGTATGCTAATTCTGTTTCCGCCATCTTGTCAAATTCTATCATCTGTCGAGAAACACAAGCTAGCACTCGTATTGTAGAAATATTAGGTATCGTTAAGGCTTTTTTAAATCTCAGGTACAGTGGTGTCAAAAGCAACGTAACTTTAGAGGATGTTGCATGACATGCACCTATGAAGCTATTAGATTGCGATGATATTCGAGAGGGTAACTTGCATAGCAAACCTGAAATTTTAGCTTCACGAATTTGTGTTGTTGCTGCCTTGTAGCAATTGACGGCATACCGGATTGGGGTTTCTCAAAATAGATACGCCATACTAAGGTCGCAAATAAGGTGTCAACACCGGCCGCTGTATAAATTTAGAGACAACAGCCTGTGTTGGTATGGGCGTTGTTGTGTCTCGTGGCTCATCACTAAGAACTCTCGAACGCTGCAACCTCTCGTTTGTACTAGGGTTTCCAGAACTTGAGTGAGTAGTCTACCTGGGGCTGCACTTATGATTTAAACAAATGCAACCTTTAGAGGGATCAAAGCACTCGAAAGATCACAGTAGCATACCAATGTGTTGCTTTCTACCATTTGACACCATCTCAGATTAGTCTGGATTAGTTTCCCAAAGTCACCCACGTGGCTAACTGCTTGTAAAACATGGTCACCAAACATGTATGTGCATTTCGGCTGGTGTTGAAAGTTAATCACTTTACTGTTCCTCAAATTGAACTGGAATTGATTAGGAAGTGAACACCCATACGCATTGCAAGGTTTCGTTGTGGTGCATCGTGAGAATCTGGATTGATGATCGCCGGCCACATCTTATCGTCCTCAGCGAACAGAAAGAAATCTAAGACGCTCAAAGGCGTAAGCTAGTCAATGCACACAATATGGATGTATTCGTAAAGACCAGGGGCCATCTTTAAGGGTTAGCATTGTGGCATGTGGGGGGAAAAGTCGCGACTGAGAACTGAGGGTAATATTTGTGTGCTGGCTTTGGCGGTCTTTGCTTAGGGGCTACAGTGGGGGCGCTATCCCACTTCTATATGTCTTTGTGGGGGTATGTGGGTAATTGCACTTTATCATAGGGTTAGGTTCCAGCGCAGACGTTCCGTTCATGGTGTTGTCTGTGCGTTTCGTGCTGGTTGTGAGCAGCACAGAAAGGCTATGGGTCTTTCTATTCGGTATTATCTGTCGACGGGCCATGTGCGTAATCGTAAGTAGGTCGCTGATGCTAGGATTTGTATGAGACCGCGGGTTCGTATTACTTATGGGGAATACGGAAAGTGCGTGATTAAGTGGGGTTTGAGGGGGGTGACGGTGCGTGAGGCACATAGATGTTTAACCGGGCCGGGATTGGTGTGGGTCGATGGGTGTCCGTTGTTTACGCTTTACTATCGGTGTCTTCAGGCGAACGTCGAGGGGGGTTGGAGTGATTATACGTCTCGATGAATGCAGGGAGTGTGGGGGGGTGGGGGGATGGTGGGTCCAGTGCGTAGCTACAGGGAGTTGAGGCATGACGTTAGTCACGGGTTCGGTGCTGGGCGGAGGTGATGTATAAGTCGGGCGGAGCGTTTCAGCGTGTCAATCAAGGGGATATTTTGGGTAGTCACAATGGGAGGGGTGGGCGAAACTTGAACGGCGTGGTTCGATCACTGGCCGTGAGGGGGACGGAGTGAGTGTTTAAACAGGGCATGTTCTTTGCGGGGTGTCTGGTTTGTTTGCAGTAGCTGCCCTGTCACGCAGACACTGTGTGAGTGTACGGACGGATTGGCGGGAGTTCGCAATCCGTCGTTTGGTTATGCGCGTTGTTCGTTTGGGCGCAGTGTGCAACTTTGGAGTGTGGTTGTTTGGAGATCAATGTACACTCCTTTATGTTTAGTTTGGGCTTGTCAGAACCTGGTCCATCTCTTCTTGGGCGGTCCTTAACTTTGGCTTATGTTTTCTGCTTCTTTTGAATCGACTTTCTTTTGGGGTTTGTATGCTCCTATTCACTCATATTGTGTGTCTTTGTTGTATGATTCTCAGGCTTTTCTATAACTCGCTTTTCTCCCCCCCCCCCCCCCCCCCCCCCCCCCCACCCGCCGCCCCCCCCCCCCCCCACCACCCCCCCCCTCCCGCAACAGCCCCCCCCCCCCCCCCCCCTCCCCCCCGCTCACCCCTACCCCCTCCGCCCCCCTCCCCATCTGCTCCCCCCCCTGCCCTCCCCCCCCCCGCCCCCCCCCCCCCCCCCCCCCCCCCCCTCCCCACCCCCCCCCCCCCCACCCCCCCCCTCCCCTCCCCCCCCCCCCCCGCCAACATCCGCCCCCCCCGGAGCTACCCCCCCCACCCCCCCCCCCCCCCCCCCCCCCATGTACTCCCTCCCCCTACCGAGTGAATAATGTTTTACCAGCGCGCGCTTATGTGCCATCCGTGAGAAGCTGGTGAAGTGTAGATATTGGCTGGACCATATTGGCTTCCGATATACAGCTCGCTCAATGAGTCCATTATCTCTGCGACTCCCGAGAATGTCCAGATATGGAAGACGCCCATTCGATTCGAATTTAAAACTCACCTTCAGGCTGGCGTGAACACTATTAGGTTGGTCTACTAATCGTTCGATTTGCATCCTCGTGGAACCGAAAACAAACATATCAGCTACATATTGTTTGTAATACGGCAGCTGAGAAATCTCTCCACATAGTATTTTTTCAAGCATCAACCTGACAAATCAGCCAGTACTGGGCCCAAGGGACTGCTCATAGCCACTCCGTCAGTTTGGCGATATGAGGTGTGCTCGAAACGGAAAGTGACATTCGCCGTGCAAAGTAACAGGGACTGTCTCAGGAGGTCTGCCGGGATTGGTAGACGGGAATTCTCCTCTTCTATTAGGTGGCAAATGTAATCAACTGTCTCTAGCAAAGGGACATTAGTAAATAACCACTGGACGTCCACTGAGCACGCAACCTTGCCGGCTTGGCTGATGTTGTCTATGTCTTTGATTATTTCAATAGAGTCCTTAATACGGTGCAAATTGTAGTGCTGCCTCAGTGGCGCAAGGATCCGAACTAACCAGCGAGCCAATTTGTGCTGCGGTGAATTTACTATCAACAAAATGGGTCTTAGTGGCATGCCCTGCTTGTGAGTTTTTGGTAACCCGTACGGCTGTGGTGTCGAGGAACCTCTCGGCTTCAGGTGCTTGTAGGTGGTTTCATCAATTACGCGATGCAGGAGAAGCATTTCAAGGTGTCGGGTTATACGGGCCTCTACCTCTGTCAGATATTCTATCCTGTCGGTGCGTTGAAACTTGTTTTCATCACTTAGAACGTTTAACATTTTTTGTACGTAATCGCTCTTGTTCATGACAACTGCTCCTGAACCTTTGTCCGGTTTTAGTACAACCACTCCCTTATTTCTCAGCTCTCGTAGCGCTTTTGAATGACGCCTTGTAAGCGCTCACTTTTCGTTTACCGGTACTATGAGGACTTCATAAGCAATTTCGCCCAGCTTATTCCTAAACCAACTGAAAGCATCAGGACTGGTTGACTGGAGTTCAGCTACTTGGTCGAAAAATTTTTCAAATTGTGCTTCAACAAACAATCGATTCAGCTTATTGGGAGTAACTTTGTAATCGATCCCCAAGGCTAGTGCTTCTAGCTGCATATCATCAAGCTGTACATTTGCTACATTCAAGACGTACTTACCGAGATCAAGTGTAACGGGTTGGTCATTTGCTTCCATCAGGGATTTCAGTAGGCGCTTTCTGCAAGTTTCTTTCGTGCGATCGATAAGTCTCTGGCAAAATATTGAGAAGACAATACGGCAGCATAGGGACAAACTATCCGCAACCGGCATCAGGCGAGTATGTGTCTCCATCAGAGTTGTTAGCTTTGCTTTGGTCGTATCTAATTACGCTAACACAATGCGTCAGGATTTCCCTGTTATTGTATTGGTACTGACGTGATAATACGAAATGCTAGCGTCTGCCAATCTTCGTCTTCTCGTTTCGTTGTTCAAAATACTGAAGGAAACTAACTGATTTAAAAGAAAAAATTTATCGGATGTGTATGATGTATTGACAAAACGCCTTTACCAAAACTGGTTTGCAAAATTACGATCCGCCATTATTTCTTTACTTGTATTAATTACTCGATTGCATCAATTTGTTAATCTGTATTATTTGATGCAACCCTACGAACAACAACCCGTATGATCGGTGAGAGACTACTGAGGCTGTATTTAAGAGCAAGTAGAAAGGTTTCTGTACAACTCTATCGATTATATTCATCGATTACATTTATCACATTCGACTGTGCATGCTCATTTGGAACGCTTAGGTTTCATCTCGAAGCTAGACATATGGGTTCCTCATGTTCTTACGGAAAGGAATTTTTGCTGTCGCGTTGGCGTCTGTGTTTTGCGTCTCAAACATCAAGCAAATGAGCCGTTTTTGAAGCGCGCCATCACTGGGTACGAGAAATGGGTTGTCTACAACAATGTTAAACGCAATAGCTAATGGAGTGAAAAAGATGAACCGGCTCAAACCACTTCGAAAGCCGATATTCATCAAAAAATGGTGATGGTGTCTGTTTGTTGGGATTACAAAGGAATCGGTTTTCTTGGAGCTACTACTGGATAACACAACGATCAATTCCGTAGTGTGCTGTCATCAACTGAACAAATTGAATGATTCACTTAAACAGGAAAAAACCAGAATTAATCAATACAAAAGGTGTAGTGATGCACCAAGACCATGCGGGACCTCATACAACTTTGGTAACTCGCCAAAAACGTTTACAGCTTTGATGGAATACACTGCCACGTTCCATATTGTCCTAATCTGGCACCTGATTATTATTTGTTCCGTCTCTACAAAATTTTTAAACGGTAAAACCTTTACTTCAGTTGAGGTCAGAAATTACCTGGACCAGTTTTTGCCCGCAAAAAACAATCCTTTTATGAGCATGGCATCATGACTGCCAAAAGGTTGGCAAAAGGCATTGGACCAGAATGGACAATACATAATTCAATAAATTCAAGAAGTGTCACTCATTTGCATGTGATCAGAAAGCGCGAAATAGTATCATCGTGCAACACCCGTCTTCTCATTGTATTATTTAGACAATAAAGATCTATTCACTATAAGCAAGTCGTCCTTTATTTTCATACAGAAATACCAAATAACTTTCCGAACAACCTAATGTTATCTGATAGCCACGAAAGTTGCATCCACAACGCCATGGGTGAATAAATTGTTCTCTCGCCTCAAACGAGCATCTCATTCTCTCGCTCCATCCCTCTTTTTGATACCGTTCTGACTTGCTTCACAAAGAGCTTCATTAAGCCAGGGGGTGAAATCGTATGCCGGACATTTTCACTGCCACGTCTGTAACTGTACTGACTTCGTCCTACCTCCAAATCCCATGCTTTGGGATTTTAAGCCCGTTCCTGAGCAAGCACTTACTTCCACCCCCTTATTGTTCGATGCTGGTGCGCACCTAGACAAGCAGATGATTTGAGATGACAAACGAGAAGTCTGTATGGGAAGTGGGAACAACCGACTCACTCTGGGTATCGTGGATACAATTTTCATGACTATCGGATTATAATTTTTTGCGCTAAAGATGCAAGCCACTGCACTACGGATGAAAGCGATTGCCTCAAGGATGCAATCAGTTGTGTAATGATATAGGTTATCTCTCTGCACACACACGACTGTCGTCGCGGCCACATCACATTTACTTTGCGTCTTCCATGCTTGTACTTGAACCGCACTTGCCATTTATTCTGTTGACCGATTAACATCTTTACACTTTTAGATTCTGCTCATCACTGACCTATTGAATTCGTTTGTGAAACGCGAGTTTTTCCTTCGAGTGGGACCGAAACTGGAGTTGAGCTCGGGGCAAAAACTCATACTGATGCATTATTAGCACTGCTCTCCGATCGTCGCGAAAACACTATCCTTCTTTTTCTCCTGTGTTTCCTACTCATCACATATTTTGTTACTTTATAAACCCAATACACTTTTTATTCGCGCGATTCTATCTTTTTTTGTTTGATCAGTTTCACTCTTCATTGCGTTGCCTGCGTCCCTACTGTGGTTGCCACAGAAATTCGTATTTTTATCTTCTTCATAATACAAAAGATACCTTGGTCAACTAAATGCGTTTATAAACAGTTGACTAAAGGGTGTATTCTTCGACTATACTAGCAGCTGATCCCGTTAATAGTCAGACGGGCATTCACAGATGTTTCATGCTCATGCAAGAGCAACTGTAAAAAAGGCCATTCTTTTCCGGGAACTGAACGAAACGATGAGTAAGTAATTTTTGTTTGTTCGCTGTGCTGGAGCATCTGTTAATTTATGTTTGCTAACCATTTAACCGGGTACAGTATGAAGGGGTTAAAAAGCAAAATAAAAAACTAATTCCTTAGCTGTATGTCGCGACGACGCTTCGGTGCCTAGTAGCGGTCGCGCGTAAGCTGAGTATACCGCGAGGACGCCAGCCTCTACGCGGATTTGAACCGGTGACCTTATGATTACAAGCCAGGCGTGCTGACCACTCGGCCACCGACCGACTATGAAAAGGTTACTGTCGATTTCTTGAAGAAACTTGTAAACAGATCTGTTTTGGTCTCTCATTTTCCAACTCACATCATCAATTCCATTCCATGTATTCATGGAGTCCATATTTATAATGGGGTCACGAAAGGATACAAAAAATGATGGTGTCAATGGAAGTAAAGGTGTTTCGGCATTAGGCTTTGGATCACAAACGTTCTTTAGATCGTGTGTGTGTTTGTATGGCAGCTATTCGGGCTCGGAGCGAAGGTCAACGAAACGTCCAAGATATGTCAAGCAGAAAATGGTTGTTCATCTTATCCGGCATCAGTTGTAACACTAGCGAATGATAATACTCTTACGGTACGCGCTGTTTTCCGTACAAACGAACATTTACACCACTATCCATGAGTTATCTACGGGTTGTCTAAATGTCAGGTAAAAAAGGCGTTCATATATATATATATATATATATATATATATATATATATAAACCATGCTGAGGCTGATGCTGCATTCTTGATGCTTCTTCATCGCAGTTAGGCTAAACCAACTTAAACTAGGTCTTTTTAAGCGGCATAAATTTCATTCCAATTTATTTGGTTTGTTCTTCTATTAACTGGCCACGTCGCTTAAGCTAATTGCGCTTATCTTCGGTAACTTTGTTACGTTTGTAGCATTTTTAAGTTACTTGTGGTCGTTTTCTCATTATCGCGGATTCGTTGCTAACCGACTGACTTCATATGCTAATTTAGCGAAGGGTTATGCCACCGTATCTGTATGCATTATTGGATTAACTTTA